TTTTTTTTTCGTTTAAAACGGAAGGGTGTATCACATTGTCTGCATTAACGGGGAGTCCGTATTAAGTGGGTTGAATTTAGAGAAAATGTAAGGGCTTTCCCCAGGGGTAAAAAAACTGTCCGTATTAAGTGGGTGTCTGTAAATCCGGGTCCGACTATAGCTTGTGACTGGCATGATTTGGAGTGTAATTAGGAACTAAAAGCTTGCTTGATTTCTGTTTTTGCGTGTTTAGTGAAGAAGGACGCATTCCTGGGTGTTCCGATCCATGCCATGGACAAAAGTCAATCCTTCGTCATTTAATTACTTGAAAACCCTAAGTAATGGTCCGACTGAAAGAACGAACCCTTTTTTTTTATTATTTCAATATTTATCCAGGGGCATCCAATTTAGCAGAGCTTCCTGAAGCCTACTTCAATACTGGGCCAAATGGCAAAAATTTTTATCTTGTAGATGCACTGCGGGTTGAAACGGGGTCAATGACCATAGAAGCTAATGATTCCAATATCCTTAATTTCCAAGTGATGTAGATAGCATTCTGATCAATCCATCTATAATATTGTCGGAATCCGGCACAAAATGCACGTTGTCAGGATTTCTTTCACCAGGGTAAATGGTGAGAGAAATTAAACATTCCCCTCGATTAGAGATTTCCTAATGCGTTTATCATCCTTTGAGAAGAGCACTCTTTAACATCTGTAAGTTAATTCGCTTCGGGCCTGTAATCAGTTTCTATAAATTCGAATGAATTATCGGTAAGTCTGTGATAAGAGATACTCTGTCATATCAAAATACCATGTTGTCTACTTGATGATTTTTCAAATTCATTTCTTAAAAACATCAGCAAACAACAAAAAACAACAACAACATACAAATTAGGTCATTTTATGACCTGTTCAAAGAAATCAGTGCGCATGTTATCTCGTTTTTTTTTCCAAGACCATGTCGCTTTTCGGAATTTGATTTTATCCAGAGGGGGCTTCATTCTTTGTCCACGCCGTCCAAAAATATTTACCTACAAAAAAAGGCGTTACCTATATAACCAGGCTCCATACTGCTCTTCATATACTTCCTGTTATGATAACCTTTCCCCGTAGTGATCTGTGATATTACAAAGAAAAATCAAAACGCTGTCACTGCAGGGGTGTTCGGGGTTATTAAAAACTATCGTTACTTCATATAATTCACACAACAACTGGACTAATCCACAACCCTGGCATATCAAATACTGGCATTCACCCTTAAAGATTCTAGTCATTAAAATAAAATTTGGTGCGCGCATGACATTATATTCCAAAATGGAAAGGATTTATGACACTTCGGGTTGTCAGCATTCTCTATTAATTCATCCTTTTGAGATTTTAAACAGGTACCTTTGTTTGTCTGTTGCTATGGCAGCCAGCAAAAAACTCCATGATATTGAAAAAACCCCAAAAAAAGGACGCCCAATTATATTTATTACAGTGTTAATGTCTAAAGTGCAGGTCAAATTCATCCTTGGTTCAAATTGTTCCCTTTGTTCTTGCAATTTTGCATCAATAAAAGTTAACGTTGTTTCTGGTTGTCCATTAGGTTTTGCTTTGATTAATTATTTCAAAAAAAATACGCTGGAGAACGTTTCTGAAAATGAAACTAAAAATCCTTTCGTGCTTTTTACTTTGTTTCGTTTTAGTCTATTTATTTATTTATTTATTTATTTATTTATTTATTTATGTTTTGTTTTCTTTAATTTAACGCAATTGCGTGTTCTTAGGCTGTTGCAACAAGACCGTGTGTATACCCAAACGTTTGGATATAGACACTTTTGGATATTAAAGGTAATATAAAACGCGTGGCGCCACTTACTTATGAAAATTATCTGTTGCAAAAGACTCTTAAAAACACCATGATAGGGTGTGTTTCAAAAAATCAAGAAGTGAGTTCTTCATACTATAAACCATGCATATGTACAGAATGCAGCTAGTGAAAAAATTTGCAATAACTAAATAAAATAAACAGTAACAAAACAGTAAAAGCCGGAACTGTAAATGGCAATTACACTTGACCAGTATTTAGAAGACAAGAGGGAGAATTTAAGTTAAGTGATCGATACGAGTTCGAGAGTTCGAATTAACCCTCCACGGAACATGCATGTATTCCCAAATCTCCTAGTTCACAAGCTCAGTTGTAGTACGAGGACTTGAACTATTTTAAATCCCGATTTCTTAGACTTAATTTGCTTTAGGAGGTTGTAAAAACTATTTTCTGGCACTAATCTATTAACTAAATGTTTCCTCTAACAAATTCAAATTCCGTGATAGTTTTTTTATCGGCTTATTCATTATGTATGTTGAATCAACACTGACTTTTAACTGCGAGTACGAAAACGAGAACATTCTAATTATCAATGCTTAAGCCCTCTATCCAATAACCGATACCAGATTTTGGATTTTGGTTAAAATTATCTACTCGGTATTGCTTGAGCACAATCTGAGACACGTACAACATTCACAAACTTATACTAATTTGTTACTTTTACTAATTCTTATAATGTTATCGCCGGTAATCTGAATCATTCGAAGTGACCGTTAATTGGATTAGAACCGCACTCGTCTTGTGCCATTTTAAAGAAGGATTTTGCAAACGGTGTCCTATCACTTGAAAAAAACAAAGTAATATCTGCTTAACAATACCTCTTTTCCGCTAAAAAAAAAAAGTAATATTTAGACTTTGTCCTAAAGTGATTGAGAAAATAGTCAGAAAATTCTGCAGTGCTACTTAATTGTCAATAATAGTTTCCTTAATTATTGTGACATACTTCAAGCTTGTTATTACTATTTTCTTCCTGAAAAAGTGCGATTTCTCGATTCCCAGAGATGAGAAACGTTAGCCAATATGTAACTCAGTCAAATACTAAATATGCGAGAGGCTAGAAAAAGAAAAAAATAACAATAAAAAGCTTTAGTATGGATAAAAGAAGAAAAAAAAAGTTGCGGTTTAAAGTCCTAAGCCAGGAAACCCACATAATCAAGTAACATCTTTGTTTCTTCTTTCTTAGCTTTACACTAGAGTGTTTGACATGGATGTTCTCTTATTATTAATCACCAATTTAGAAATTTATATTTGATCTTCTGTGGTCGAGTGCTGTAATTATATACACAGGTAGCCCAATTTTAAACCTAGACTTTTTCCTGTGGGCTGGCTAAGTAAAAGACATATATATATATTTTTTTTTCTCTAAACGTCTGTTCCTTGAAATTTATGTAAAGAAAATTAAAGAAAAGTGACCTTTTGGTCCTCTTTTAATTTAAAACTGTTTAATCCGTTTTAGTATTTATGTCTTCAGTATGTCTGAAGAAGGCACTTAAAATGATGATAGGTTGAAAAGTCATTATACATATTGTAAAGCAGTTTGATAAATAATTCTACACTTTGAAATTGGAACGCCTTTGGCATTGAGGGGCCAAAACGCTTTACCACGCCAGCTGTAAAGAGCATCCGAGGGAACCAAACATGTCGTTGAAGTTCTCAGCTGGTTTATGCCTGGTGTTGTTCGTGGCTTTCTCCAACTGTGCTTCTTTTTCTAAAAAAGTAAAACTTCGGTGGCCAAGGAACGGTATGTAAAGAAAAAAGACACTTATAAAAAATATATATTAAAACTAAACACATTTTGTTCCACAGAAATGTTGATTTTTTAAATGACGTGCCATGCACGCTCTGAAAACAAAAAACAAAACAAAACAAAAACAAAGATATGACCCAGTGACGAAGCGAGATACCATTTTCATGCGTTGTGTTCCACAAGTGTTTTTGCAAAAAAAATCACTGCACGAAAAATTTGATTTACACCAAATTTACTCAGTGCAAATTTGGTGCAAAAAAGTGCAGACTAAGGTTAAATAAAGGGCAAAGATGGTAAATACCGTATTTGCCTTCAAATTTACAACCCCATGTAAACTGGCAAGCAAATGCGGTATATACCATCTTCGCTTTTGATTTCCCCCTAGTTTGCACTTTTTTGCACCATATTTGCACCGAGTAAATTTGTGTAAATCCAGTTTTTCGTGCAGTGAATGAAAAAAAAAGAACAAGAAGAAGAACAAGAGTTTTCATTGGTGCTAGCTACACGTTAGGAGCGAGGCTCTTTGATTATGTGAATAATATGATGGACAAAATTGCTGCCATTGAAGTTGTAAGTCAATGTAATCTGTGTTACCACTGGTTCAGTACAGCCTTTCTAACTTCTTCTGTTTTAAGTAGTGAAGTTCAAACAGATTCGGATAGCCTTATGAAAGTCACGTGAGCCGATATCTGTTAGCACGCCGAAAGTGTAAGCATGTTGCATAAGACCCGCTCATCTTCGCTTTCGTTTATTCAGTCATTTTTGCTTTGATTTTATTTTTGTTTTAAACAGCATTGCCAAACACTGAAATCAGAAATCGCCGCCAAGTTGGCTTCCTCCCTTTGTGCGGTTCAGCTCAGTTTAACACCTTCACCCAGTTATGTTGCGATGAAAACCTGTTGCCGAAGATGACGCCCACTACCGTTTGCTGTGATCATACCACTTACGACCCACTACATCAGATATGCTGTGATGGAGCAGTGTACCAGAAATCGCAATATATTATTCCAAAGTGCTGTGGACAAGAAGTCTATGATGGAAATACCACTGGAATCATCTGCTGCAGTAGTAATGTTCACACTGGCCATGGACCCAGTCCAGCTTGTTGCGGATCAGATAACGCCTATAACACTCTTACTGAGATATGCTGCGATCAAAGCACCGTGTTGCCTGCGGTAGGGTACACGAGTCCAGCTTGTTGCGGAACACAATCATACGATGCCGCAAGCTTCTTATGTTGTAACAACATGATGATTGTACCTAAATCAGGGCCAAATTCAGCCTGTTGTGGCAACTTTGTCTACGATACCAGTACACAGATTTGCTGTGGTGGAATGATTTTCATGAAGCCAGGCAATGCGTCGGCGTGCTGTGGAAATATGGCCTACGACCGGGTGACGCAGATGTGTTGTCAAGGAGTGCCATCTATGAAGCCCGGCGCAAATCCTGCTTGCTGTGGGATATTCGCTTATGATCTGACAAGCTCCATGTGTTGCAGTGGCCATGTAGCTCCGAGATCACCCTCAGTAACCATGTGCTGTGGAATGTTTTCATACAGCCCTCTCACTCACTTGTGCTGCAATGGTGTTGTGGGTATAAGAGCAGGGCTAATGCCATCTTGTTGTTCAACTTTCGTGTATAATGCAGCTACCCATCTTTGTTGCGATGGCAACGTTGTAATTCCCATGAACCCTAATGGGTGTGGAAGTCACGCGTGATCAACAAACAAGCGACACCGTTAGACCGGGAAAACAAGGAAACAATCAAGAAACTAAGCAGACATTCATACTAGAAATACGTGTATCGCAGAACCTCGCGAGGCTCGGGGGGGAAGCCCATAAGGGGTGGGAGGACAGGAGAGAAATGAAGTAAATCATGTAACTGGCGAGGGAGGGTCTAATATTCGAAGCTGAGATGTACTTAATGCGAGAGCTTCTTTTTACAATTATTTGAAAACTTTTCTGAGAGGAAACATTAATTAGCTAACAGCTCCCTATAGTTTAGACTCGCAAGACTGACTTAAACATGTAGAGCGCGTTTGACATAAAGAAGACTAACGAGAGATTATTATCTAACCTTAACTCGACGTTGCCACCGTATTTCCAATTAAAAGGATAGAAAAATAAATTATACCGATAAGCCTACATTTCCCTCTCAATCGAGTAAAGTTTAGAATGCGCATGCTCATCGGCATCGGTTAACACGATTTTACAGCTTCAGGGTTGTAGGGACTGTATATACTGAAGACAAGGAGCCCATAAGCTGGAGCGAGCTATTTCCACGCGCTCGTGTCACGGCGTTTTCACGGACCAGTTTATTTTTAGAACGGTATTCGCACGAATTTTGAATATCTTTTGAATTCCACAAACCAGTCAGCAAAACCTACAGACCTAAAAATGATAGTTTTTGCTTTTTAATAACGTTTAGTTTTCCTTTTTGATATCATATAGTTCGAATGCGCTCATAGACAAGGTGGAGATTCTATTTTCGTGAGAAAAAGTGCCCTAAAATGTGTCTAAAAATAAACTGGTCCGTAAAAAACGCCGTGACATAGGCCTAGTATGGGAGTTGCTCGCTCCACGTTTTGGGCTCCTGTAAAGACGTAATTAAAATTCCTTTAATAACTTATTTAGTCGAGTTATATTCGAACCCCAGTGATAAGAAGGCTACAACTGTAGGTAAGCCCCTGAGCCAAATTGAGGTACACTTCACTTTAAACTAATGCGTAAACCAACAAGTAGGATCCACGAGTGTAACATGTAATTGAGGCTTCGTAAAACCAGCTTATTTAGGGGACCCAAAGCTATCATGTGTTGTATAAATTGAACATGATACATGAACCGACAATTTTAAACTTCGTGGAAGCTTAATAAAGCATTTTGACTTATTTCTGCGTTTGTTTAGTATAAATTCTTGTGTTGTGTTGTTGCCAATAAACTGCTGGATATCGAGCTAGCGCCAAAGTCATTTTTGGATGTTATCAATTCCAGTGTTCCAGCAATTCCTCTTTTAACGAAAGTCGTTTGCTTAGATCAAGTTTCCCCGAGCTACCCTGGTTGAGCCAACTTTTCATACATTCCCTTACAAAATGTGGCGAACCTTTACCTGACTGAGAACAAAAAGCTGGTCCGGCTAGAAGGGTGACTCTCCTAGCCTGGTCATCCATTTGTGATGTAGGGTCACCCTCCTTACCGGGCCAACTTATTCTGCATATAAACACTTTGGGGAAGTTATTAAAACGAAGTCGAAGTAGTCGAAGTAGTTGTCGATAGTTACTAGTAGTTGGTGGTATAAGTTATTGGTATTTACTAGTAGTTGCTGGTATTTTCTAATAGTTGCCGGTAATTACTGATTCGAGTCGACTGTTTTTATTTGCTTGGACTATTTCTATTGACGCTGTTGAAGTGGAAGTCTAGAAATATAACAGAGCACCTAATGTCAGGTCCTGCGCGGAAAAACAGTTATATTTTTCCTCAAGTAATGATGTTTCCCTTGTTGATTTCGTCTCGGGGAACATCAGGACTCTTGGCGTTCTCAATTCCTTTCCTGTAGGTTCCACCAATGTGTTATTAAACCAATGTTCACACAAAGCAATCACTTTAAGTAGACTTTATTTGTGAAAGTTTTTCTTAAACTTAATATGCCTTTACACAGAATGACAGGTTGGCTCAGATATTCCATTTAAAGTGACTTTCACTTCAACAGCGTCAATAGAAATAGTCGAGGCAAATGAAAACAGTCGACTCGAATCAGTAATTACCGGCAACTACCACTAACTACCACCAACTACTAGTAACTACCAGCAACTACTAGTAACTACCAGTAACTACAAGTAACTACCAACAACTACCACCAACTACTAGTAACCACTAGTAACTAGCGACAACTACTAGTAACTACCAGTAACTACCGACAACTACTCGTAACTACCGACAACTACTAGTAACTACCACTAACAACTAGTAACTACCAATAAATACCACCAACTACCATAACGACTAGTAACTACCGAGAACTACCACTAACTACCAGTAACTACTAATAACTGCCGACAACTACTAGTAACTACAGATAACTACTAGGAACAACTAGTAACTACCAAAAACTACCATCAACTACTAGTAACTACTAGTAACTACCGGTAACTATTAGTAGCTACTAGTAACTACTAGTAACTACTAGTAACTACCATCAACTACTAGTAACTACTACTAACTACCGACAACTACTAGCAATTACTAGTAACTACCAGTAACTACTAGTAAATACCAGTAACTACTAATAACTACCACTAACTACTAGTAAATACCAAGAACTACTATTAACTACTAGTAACTACTAGCAACTACCAGTAACTACTAGTAAATACCAGTAACTACTAATAACTACCACTAACTACTAGTAAATACCAGTAACTACTAGTAACTACCAGTAACTACTAGTAAATACCAAAAACTACCATAAACTACCAGTATCTACTAGTAACTACCAGTAACTACTAGTAACTACTAGTAACTACCATCAACTACTAGTAACTACTTGTAACTACCGACAACTACTAGTAACTACCAGTAACTACTAGTAACCACCGATAACTACTAGCAACTACCAGTAACTACTAGCAACTACCGACAACTACCAGTAACCACCACCAACTAGTAGTAACTATTAGCAACTACAAGTAACTACTAGTAACTACCAGTAACTACCGACAACTACTATTAACTACCGACAACTACTAGTAACTACTGACTAACTACTAGTAACCACCAATAAATACCACCAACTACCAGTAACTACTAGTAACTACCGACAACTACTAGTAACTACCGACAACTACCACTAACTACCAGTAACTACTAATAACTACCGACAACTACTAGTAACTACCAGTAACTACTAGTAACTACCAGTAACTACTAGTAACTACCGATAACTACTAGGAACTACTAGTTACTACCAACAACGAACAGTAACTACCAGCAACTACTAGTAACTACCAGTAACTACTAGTAACTACCAGTAACTACTAGTAACTACCAAAAACTACCATCAACTACTAGTAACTACTAGCAACTACCAGTAACTACTAGTAACTACTAGTAACTACCATCAACTACTAGTAGCTACTAGTAACTACCGACAACTACTAGCAATTACTAGTAACTACCAGTAACTACTAGTAAATACCAGTAACTACTAATAACTACCACTAACTACTAGTAAATACCAAGAACTACTATTAACTACTAGTAACTACTAGTAACTACCAGCAACTACTAGTAACTACCAGTAACTACTAGTAACTACCAAAAATTACCACCAACTACTAGCAACCACTAGTAACTACCGACAACTACTAGTAACTACCAGTAACTACGAGTAACTACCGAGAACTACTACTTACTACCAGTAACTACTAATAACTACCGACAACTACTAGTAACTACCAGTAACTACTAGTAACTACTAGTAACTACCATCAACTACTAGTAACTACTAGTAACTACCGACAACTACCAGTAACTACCAGTACCTACTAGTAAATACCAGTAACTACTAGTAAATACCAAGAACTACTATTAACCACTAGTAACTACTAGTAACTACCGACAACTACTAGTAACTACCAGTAACTACTAATAACTACCACTAACTACTAGTAAATACCAAGAACTACTATTAACCACTAGTAACTACTAGTAACTACCGACAACTACTAGTGACTACAAGTAACTACTAGTAACTACCACTAGCTATTAGGGAGAAGACACAATACTACATATACCACAGAGTGTATATTACCGGTGCACTTGTGGCTTTCTACCATGAAGTATATAACCCTACTCTCGTCCCCCAAATGTCGGCTGTTTTCACAGCGTACCCCTATCTCCCCAAGTTTTGACCGAGTGGAGCTTGGGTCCAGGGGAAACCAAGATGGCGCCTGACAATGGCGCCCTTGTCAACAAAGTTCAACTTCAAATCGAATGCGCAAAGATTCTCCAAGAATGCAGCTTGGTTTTCAGATCAGTGGTTTATTAACTTCTAGATCATTTAACTGTGACAAAAAGAAAGTACTTTTTTGTACAAAAAGGCCCTCAAGTCCGTGTACAAACCAATGTGACGTCAAAGTGATCTTGAACTGCGTAGAGAATTTTCATCAAAGTACAGGTAGGATGTAACGGTTTAAGCTTATAAGGAAATTTTGGAGCTAACGAAACTACACAGTAGAAGTTTAGTTTAGAATTTTAAATTAGGTCCTGTCAGAATTGCTTGGGTTAAGAGGGGTCACGTCACGTCAACTAGCTAGCGATGGGTGGGTAGTCAAAATGTTTTGTGTTGTTATTAGTACTGTAGCTTTTTTTAAGTCACGTGCCTAATTCCCTAGCTAGTGCTGGCAGAAATGGAAAGCTACAGAGCGGTTTATTTTTTTTCCAATTTTGCACGTTCTTCATCCTGTTATCCCTAACAGTGACCAGAATCTAATAATATTAATTTATTTCCTCATGATAGCCCTTCATAAATAATTTGCAGTTAATGAATGAGGCTGAGTAGGATATGAAGAATTAGGCAGATTGAGGAGTTCAGCCTCCGTGGATAACACCCACTGAGATTTGCCTGATTCTTCATATCCTATGAAAGCCGAATTCATTCAAATTTATTTATTATAGTTGCCACAATTCCATTTCAAAGCCTTGGGAATATGAGAAAATGAATAACCCAGATGACGAGGTCAACACGGGGGCATTCCATGAAGAAAAAAAGCTGTATTTAGCGGGGAGGGGTTTCTCACCTATATACACGTGAATAATAACCAAAATATATGATCCAACGTTATATTCTAAGCGATGATGACATGATTCACACCTATGTAAACATGTACATCACGTTTTTGACCCTTGTCATGGATGTTAGAGACCACGCACAGGTCTAAAAATGGGTGTAAAAAATAGCATTTTGGTCAGGCTCAGGATTTGGAGAACTGTAAGAAATGTTGTAGAAAATCAGAAATGACCGAAAGTCCTAAAATCTAGGACTTCAAATTGCGTGTTCCCAGAACCTCCTGGTCCTCGTGCCATGCACAGGCCCCCAGGAGACTCTGGGAACGAGAATGGGAGTATTTGTAACTTAAACCCATGTGTTGTGCTATTTAGCGATCTTTTGCTCTTACAGTATATTACCTTACCTAGAACCAATTAGCACATTTTTTACCAATGTAGTCCACAGTATACATTTTATGCCCAGTCCTTGTTTTATACCTTACTCCGCAGTCCATGTTTTATACTGACCTAGGATGACTAGGATGATTGGGATAACTAGGGTGAATGAAATAACTCAGCTGACATCAATGAATAGGATGACTGTGTGGGATAACTTAAGTACTGGGTACTAGGATGAGTTGATTCAAGGATGACTAGGATGACTGGGACATCTAGAATGACTGGGGTGACTACCATGACTAGAACAACAGGAATTACCAGAAGATGACTGAGATGACATAAGGTTGATGATTGTGATGACTAGAATAGCTAAGATGACTGGGATGACAATTAGCAACTACAAGTAACTACTAGTAACTACCAGTAACTACCGACAACTACTATTAACTACCGACAACTACTAGTAACTACTGACTAACTACTAGTAACCACCAATAAATACCACCAACTACCAGTAACTACTAGTAACTACCGACAACTACTAGTAACTACCGACAACTACCACTAACTACCAGTAACTACTAATAACTACCGACAACTACTAGTAACTACCAGTAACTACCAGTAACTGCTAGTAACTACCAGTAACTACTAATAACTACCGACAACTACTAGTAACTACCAGTAACTACTAGTAACTACCGATAACTACTAGGAACTACTAGTTACTACCAACAACGAACAGTAACTACCAGCAACTACTAGTAACTACCAGTAACTACTAGTTACTACCAGTAACTACTAGTAAATACCAAAAACTACCATCAACTACTAGTAACTACTAGCAACTACCAGTAACTACTAGTAACTACTAGTAACTACCATCAACTACTAGTAGCTACTAGTAACTACCGACAACTACTAGCAATTACTAGTAACTACCAGTAACTACTAGTAAATATCAGTAACTACTCATAACTACCACTAACTACTAGTAAATACCAAGAACTACCAGTAACTACTAGTAACTACTAGTAAATACCAGTAACTACTAATAACTACCACTAACTGCTAGTAACTACCGACAAGTACTAGTAACTACCACTAACTACTAGTAACTACCACTAACTACTAATAACTACCACTAACTACTAGTAAATACCAAGAACTACTATTAACTACCAGCAACTACTAGTAACTACCAGTAACTACTACTACATACCAAAAACTACCACCAACTACTAGCAACCACTAGTAACTACCGACAACTACTAGTAACTACCAGTAACTACCGTCAACTACGAGTAACTACCGAGAACTACTACTTACTACCAGTAACTACTAATAACTACCGACAACTACTAGTAACTACCAGTAACTACTAGTAACTACTAGTAACTACCATCAACTACTAGTAACTACTAGTAACTACAGCTGTAACTACTATCAACTACTAGTAACTACCAGTAACTACTAGTAAATACCAGTAACTTCTAGTAAATACCAAGAACTACTATTAACCACTAGTAACTACTAGTAACTACCGACAACTACTAGTAACTACCAGTAACTACTAATAACTACCACTAACTACTAGTAAATACCAAGAACTACTATTAACCACTAGTAACTACTAGTAACTACCGACAACTACTAGTGACTACAAGTAACTACTAGTAACTACCACTAGCTATTAGGGAGAAGACACAATACTACATATACCACAGAGTGTATATTACCGGTGCACTTGTGGCTTTCTACCATGAAGTATATAACCCTACTCTCGTCCCCCAAATGTCGGCTGTTTTCACAGCGTACCCCTATCTCCCCAAGTTTTGACCGAGTGGAGCTTGGGTCCAGGGGAAACCAAGATGGCGCCTGACAATGGCGCCCTTGTCAACAAAGTTCAACTTCAAATCGAATGCGCAAAGATTCTCCAAGAATGCAGCTTGGTTTTCAGATCAGTGGTTTATTAACTTCTAGATCATTTAACTGTGACAAAAAGAAAGTACTTTTTTGTACAAAAAGGCCCTCAAGTCCGTGTACAAACCAATGTGACGTCAAAGTGATCTTGAACTGCGTAGAGAATTTTCATCAAAGTACAGGTAGGATGTAACGGTTTAAGCTTATAAGGAAATTTTGGAGCTAACGAAACTACACAGTAGAAGTTTAGTTTAGAATTTTAAATTAGGTCCTGTCAGAATTGCTTGGGTTAAGAGGGGTCACGTCACGTCAACTAGCTAGCGATGGGTGGGTAGTCAAAATGTTTTGTGTTGTTATTAGTACTGTAGCTTTTTTTAAGTCACGTGCCCAATTCCCCAGCTAGTGCTGGCAGAAATGGAAAGCTACAGAGCGGTTTATTTTTTTTCCAATTTTGCACGTTCTTCATCCTGTTATCCCTAACAGTGACCAGAATCTAATAATATTAATTTATTTCCTCATGATAGCCCTTCATAAATAATTTGCAGTTAATGAATGAGGCTGAGTAGGATATGAAGAATTAGGCAGATTGAGGAGTTCAGCCTCCGTGGATAACACCCACTGAGATTTGCCTGATTCTTCATATCCTATGAAAGCCGAATTCATTCAAATTTATTTATTATAGTTGCCACAATTCCATTTCAAAGCCTTGGGAATATGAGAAAATGAATAACCCAGATGACGAGGTCAACACGGGGGCATTCCATGAAGAAAAAAAGCTGTATTTAGCGGGGAGGGGTTTCTCACCTATATACACGTGAATAATAACCAAAATATATGATCCAACGTTATATTCTAAGCGATGATGACATGATTCACACCTATGTCAACATGTACATCACGTTTTTGACCCTTGTCATGGATGTTAGAGACCAAGCACAGGTCTAAAAATGGGTGTAAAAAATAGCATTTTGGTCAGGCTCAGGATTTGGAGAACTGTAAGAAATGTTGTAGAAAATCAGAAATGACCGAAAGTCCTAAAATCTAGGACTTCAAATTGCGTGTTCCCAGAACCTCCTGGTCCTCGTGCCATGCACAGGCCCCCAGGAGACTCTGGGAACGAGAATGGGAGTATCTGTAACTTAAACCCATGTGTTGTGCTATTTAGCGATCTTTTGGTCTTACAGTATTTTACCTTACCTAGAACCAATTAGCACATTTTTTACCAATGTAGTCCACAGTATACATTTTATGCCCAGTCCTTGTTTTATACCTTACTCCGCAGTCCATATTTTATACTGACCTAGGATGACTAGGATGATTGGGATAACTAGGGTGAATGAAATAACTCAGCTGACATCAATGAATAGGATGACTGTGTGGGATAACTTAAGTACTGGGTACTAGGATGAGTTGATTCAAGGATGACTAGGATGACTGGGACATCTAGAATGACTGGGGTGACTACCATGACTAGAACAACAGGAATTACCAGAAGATGACTGAGATGACATAAGGTTGATGATTGTGATGACTAGAATAGCTAAGATGACTGGGATGACTGTCATGACTGTGATGATTGGGATAACTAGGACAACAAGGGTGACTGGGATAACTAGGATGACTTGTATCACAAGGATGACTTGGATGATTTTGATGGCTTTAAACTGAGATGACTGCGGAACACTTGGATAAGGATGATGATGGTGATGACTCAGATGACTTAAGGATGACTAGATGTCTGGGATAATTAGGATGACTGGGATGAGATGAATTGGGTGACTGGGGTGTCTGATACAACTCGGTTGACTGATATGACTAAGATGACTTTGATGACTATAAAGATGATGAATGGGATATCTGGGATGTCTATGATAACTGGTATAATGGGGATTACTATGATTTCTGGGGAGACGTGGATGATTGTGATGACTTTGGTGACTATAATTATTTTCATGATTGGAATGTCTGGGTTGACTAGGATGACTGGGATGACTGTGATTACTGTGGTGGCTGGAAGGACTGAGATAACTAGGATGACTGGGGCAACCAGGATGAGTAGGATGATCGACTGGCATGACTAGGATGAATTGAATGACTTCAATGACTGGGATGACAAGGATAACTGTTATTACTGAGATGGCTGGGATAACAAGGAAATAAACTGAGATAAGTGGGATGACTGAGATGCAGTAGATGAAGTATAAGGGCACAATTATGCAAATGTGGGGTGCTTTTGTCAGTGTAAAACAATTTGTTAAACAAGATAGTAGCTTGTCGGTGTGATAAAGGACAACCAATTTACTGTTATGTCATTTTATATACATTTTAATAATGTGTGAGCTTACAATGTACATTGTAACCTCTCCTTCAGCTAAGAAACCTGAAAAAGATTTGAGCGTTAAGAATGTGGGGAGGGGGATTTGGAAAATTGTGCGTACCTCTTTCTCCAAACATTCTAGCTATGCCCCTGTGTTTTATTGCTGAAGGGTATTACTGCTTATTATCATACTTGAGACAAGAGTTATTTCTCTACCGTGGAGTTAATGATTTAAAAACAAGCATTGTTTGGATTTGGTCATTAGACATAATACAGAGATTATATGTGATATCCAAACATCTATAAGTGGGTTTAAGAAATGAGTGACAGCCATTTGTTTTTAAGATTGTGTCATTGAATGGAACATTATCGCACTCACGTCCTGACGTTATTTCCAAACACCATTTTTCAAGGTCATAAAATTATTATCAAAGTGTCCCCAAATGTAAACTTGGAAAGCACGTGTATTTTACAGCGTGATTGATTTGGGCGTTCAAACTGACCGAGAGTTGGGGCAAGTCAAAAAATGATTCCAAGGGAGAGGTTGACGTGTCTAAATAGGGAAGAGGGAGGGGAAGGGGAGGAAAAAATATGCCTGCACGCAGCCACTGATTGTTTGGCGAACACTGTACACTGGATGGATAGGAGCTCTGATTGCTGCGGTTTCGGATGTTTCGATTGCCAGCTGCGAATCAAGGTCACATTGGAACACACATGTTGCAGGCCTTCTCTGGCGGTGTGTTTGTAATACCCAGATTCATCGAGATTTTGAAAATTATGATTTTGTGCTTGAGGAATTCTTTCATATCCCTTATCGGTCGGAGCAAAAGCAAGTGGTTAGAAAAATATATTACACTATTGTTAAGATGAGATTTATTGGCCTCATCTTTCAGTTTTTAGTTCAAGTGAAGGAAATCTTGAAAAGTAAACTTGCATGTGTGATCTTTGTTTGACCTCTGAAAAGTTACTTCCACAATCAGTTGTCCAAAGTCCTTCTGATTTGTCCATGATAGCAACTGATGAGGAATGCTTTAGTTCCGAAACTGCTTCTAAAAAAAGAAAATACAAGTAACCAACACTGGAAGAACGACGGGATATCGTGCTCCAGTCATTTCAAGAAAAACAATAGATAGTATCAGTGCCTAAAGAATGATATTGACTACCTACTTACAGGGCAATTCTCTATAGCTAAATTGCTGTAGCTTCAGTTCAAGCTACAATTCATATCTATAGATCACTATCCATAAGAATTTAACATCTTGCAAACAACACTTAAGAGCTTGGCATAGCACCAAAGAATTGCAGGGAATCATCACCTTCACCGACCATAAAACTATAGTACACAGTACTGCACCTGTAGTTATTCAAGTCCAAGCGTTGTGGAAAATGACTAAAGAGACAAAAATCTTTATTTAAAGGTTGTGTGTATTTATTTGCAACAAAAAGCTTACGGCTTTTAGAAAAAAGGTGCTAAACTGCATCGAGATAAAATCCTGTCAAAAAGTTAAAACACTTACACGAAACATTAATTACAGGAAGAAAAAAAAACAAAATGCATAGAACAGACCAGTTTTAGATCCTCTTAATGTTAGACTAGCGGCAAAAATAAGATTTGCTCAGTCAAAATTTAGAACACCCGATGCATTATATAATTTGCCTGCTAAAAAGAAGGAAAACCTCTAATTCAATTTAGCAAACTCTTTGTTCACATTTCACATTATCATGAGCCTATGGGTCAGGTTTGACCTGTTAACACTTTAATTCCATTATTGTTGATGTAAATTTGTGGCTTCCGGAACAATAAATGAACTAGATTTTCATTGGCTGCAAATTCATTTCTGGAAAAGCAGTCAGACCTAACTAATTAGGGGGCGTTCAGCAAATTCATAGGCTCTGCTGGCAGGTGTTTTTCCTTTTTCTCCCCGCCCTTCCAGGGCTCGACACTAACTTTTCAACTTACTAGTCTACCCTTGTAAAAATTTGTAAACGATCGCTGTCAAAATTGCGTAGCGTTTTTGGCCAGATTTCGCGGCACGATGAGAGCAATCGTGTCGCGATCGCTGTCATCGATCGCTGTCATCGATGGCTTAGCTTTTTTGGCCGGATTTCGTGGCGGGATGAGAGCGATAGCGCCGCGATTGCTTTGTTTTTGGCCCGAATTCGCAGCGCGATGGTAGCGATCGTGGAGTGTGAAGTACGTATAGCGTCTTTGGCCGAATTCGGCGCGGAGCGTTGTTAGCGATCGCTCCAGACAGACAGTAAAATAATATATTAAAAATGTAATTTCCCGGCGCACGATCGCGATCGGGGATCAGCATATCGATCGTTTAAGTTGTGTGCGTGCGTGTGTCGTTAGGTATATTAGGCATAATTATGTTAAGTCGGAAATTGTTTAATGAGGGGGGTCAATAGGAAATTGGGTGCGGCCTTAGGGCGAAATTCAATCCTTCAGCGGGGGGGGGGGGGGGGGGGGGGGGGTTGCAACAAGGGAGGTGGTTTTCTTTTTCTGAACCAACCCCCCCCCAGTTTTTTTATCCCCCCCAAAACTTTTTTCTCAAAAAAAATCTCTTTTTTTTTTAACCAGACAGCACGAAAACACCGCCACACAAAAAAAAAAACACAAAAATATACAACACAACCCACAAATAGAGTGTAGTATCGATGCTAATCAATGTGACTACAGTACTAGTGGAAGCTGTACTAGGACCCGAGTTAAGAGGAAACGCGAAATTTCAAGCGGACTAGATGAGGGGGCCAAGGAAGGGGTGCGTGATCTGACAAATGGCACATGGTAACTTTTGTAGACATCAAATCCCCTCAATTGTGTATATCCCAGCAACACTTTCCTTCTAAGGACATATCATTTTTTTCTAAATCCGACAGTCAGCAAAAACTCGCCATAAAAAAAAAAAAACATATTTTGAGTGACTGATCCAATAAGTGCCCCTGACGTGTTGCCCGCAGATATATCTTGCATTACTGGTTTACGGCTCGATATGTAGTTAATTTTCCTCGTATGCGATCATTACATGTTTTGTTGTCTCTCAAACCAAAGATCCTGACCTGTACGAGAAAATAAAGACTTATGACAGAAGGAGAACTGGAAAGGAAGGCAAGATATCCGCCATAACCGACGGTGAGGAATATCACAAGCACGTGCCTAGTGGCTTCCTCGCAAACCCAAACAATATTTCTCTTTCATTCAACACTGATTGCGGTTGCGGTTGCGGTTGCGGTGTTCCACAGCTCTAAGAAGGGGGAATTGTGGCCATTGTACTTTGTCATCAATGAACTATGGCCCAGAATAAGGTAAACAAATCACAATTAAATTACCGTATTTATTCGAATAAGCGCACAATCTCGAACGTGTTCAGATCGCCATCATTCTGCTACGAGTTTTAGGGAGAATGTCGTAGTGGCGGCAACAAGTTATCAAAGTTTAAAACTTTAATCATTTTACAACCGGGAAAGGGCTAAACCTTCTCCAATAAAAATAACCGCACTAATGTTTCAGGTGAAAAATGGTACAATGAAGCTTTCTGAGTCAAATATTTTTCGAGAATACGCGATTAAAATCGCAGACGTCCTCGTCCTCAAAGGTAAAGCTGCCTATTATTTATTCACTGGGATACAATCTCTAGGTTCGTTGTCTAGGCAGCACCAGAGAATGACATGAGTGACAATGAGATTGAAATTAGACACTACCCGAAGACGGAGTTTTTTCAGAGTACTTAACAGAAACCTTGCTCTGTTACATCTTTGTGTTTTGTTATTAACTATGCATTCACTGTTTTGTTTCAAAATAAACATACCGTACTACAAAAATGTTGAAAATTTAATTAGCGCCCACTCTCCAACCTCGCCCCCAGGGCTTTTCACCCTGTGGACAAGGTTGCCCACTCTCAAGGTCCAAAATTTAATAAGCGCCCAGGGCGATTAATCGAATAAATACGGTATTTCAAGACAACCCAGATGACTGTGATGACTGGCTCAATTTTTTCAGTGGCGGATTTTTAACATGGATATAGGGCTTTGACAAAGCCTCACCTTTTTGTTCTTAATACGAAAATAAATAATAAACAAATCTAATGAAAAATTCTTTGTATTTGTTTCTCTTAGAATGTCCCCGAACAATATGTATAGCCGGTTAAACGCACTCGTTTCCTCTCAGTAAACGCGCCACGGAAACAATAGCTTAGCTGGACTTATTGTTTCGGGAAGTCTCATTTCACACTCAATTTTTCAAGCAGTTTAACCGTTTGGTAGCTAAGTGGAAAGCTGAATGTGAAGATTAAGGAAGGTGTGGTCTGAAATGCTTAAATCATCAACGTGTACATCGGAACTGGAATTTCACTGTCTGCTATTGATTAGGCGAAAATGAGTCAAACCACGTGTAACCTTCCTAAGATGGATTGTTTTCAGCCTTTTATTTATTTTTCATATTTTCATTCAAGGATTCCACTTCACTACAAGTAGCGGCACTCAAGTTTGCAGAGCCATGCTAATGCTATCAACGGACGACCTACCAGCGCGAGCAATGTTAGCAACATGAAGTCATTCAATGGAGAAAGCAGATGTTCGACCTGCAATCAAACTGGAACGACGGTATTGTAAACTTCACGCTTTTAATAGAAAGTATTGTCTAACCTCTATCCACCTCTATTAAGTCGCCCTCTGCTTAGCAGTAAGAATCAGTTAATAGCTCTTGCGGTCAGCATATGGATTTTCCAACTTATACATTTTCAACCTCGAACAATGCCTTTCTAGCATTGTGATTGGTTCACACAATCTCGGTTATCAGCTCATATACCTTAATAGTTTGACCTTATATGGAACACGAACACGCTAAGGTGCATCATCATCCGGTCGTTTTATATGACAATTTAATGAAAATTAATAAAATTCAGTTAGAATTAATAACCAAACGTTTGGAGTTTGGGAAATAAATGAAACATCATTCCATTTGCAATTGCTGGATATGAAATGGTTACAGCCAACTCGGGCGGGCACCATATTGCGCTTTGTTAATGGCTAAATACCATCTCACATCCAACGCACGCTTATTGAATAATTCAGTGTTAAATAATTGTATCTCTTCTTTATCAGATCAAATATATCGTAAGAATTCATTAATCATTACACCTTTGTAACGTTAGTCACTAAATCATGTTGTATTTGTAGCGTCCTGGCAACCCCCTTCATTGTCTTTGGCCGTTTCAGGAAGATCTAACCATAAGGACCCGACAGCATGTCTTGAATGCAGTGCGAGAGGTGGAACGTACCATCCAACCGGTATGTTGTACAATCAAAGTTCATCCATTAGTAATTGTGTTCAGCAATCAACCAGTTCCTTGCCTTTTCCCAAATTTTAAGCCAAATAAAATGAAGTCATTCCACAAAATTGAGAAAAAAATCATCATGGACGCCTTTTGGTTCGACATCGACTTCTCTTTCTCACCTGTGCGGTTAAAAAATATTGTCATGAGCAGCGAAGCGAAGTTGATTAGGTTTTACGTCGCATATTTTTTACTTAGCGTCAAGGTGTAAAGGTAGCTAGCGTCTTGCTGCTGCACAGACCGTTTGATATTGCCAAGGGCCTCGTGGTGGACTACATGCACACTGTTCTTTTAGGCGTCNACCATCTCACATCCAACGCACGCTTATTGAATAATTCAGTGTTAAATAATTGTATCTCTTCTTTATCAGATCAAATATATCGTAAGAATTCATTAATCATTACACCTTTGTAACGTTAGTCACTAAATCATGTTGTATTTGTAGCGTCCTGGCAACCCCCTTCATTGTCTTTGGCCGTTTCAGGAAGATCTAACCATAAGGACCCGACAGCATGTCTTGAATGCAGTGCGAGAGGTGGAACGTACCATCCAACCGGTATGTTGTACAATCAAAGTTCATCCATTAGTAATTGTGTTCAGCAATCAACCAGTTCCTTGCCTTTTCCCAAATTTTAAGCCAAATAAAATGAAGTCATTCCACAAAATTGAGAAAAAAATCATCATGGACGCCTTTTGGTTCGACATCGACTTCTCTTTCTCACCTGTGCGGTTAAAAAATATTGTCATGAGCAGCGAAGCGAAGTTGATTAGGTTTTACGTCGCATATTTTTTACTTAGCGTCAAGGTGTAAAGGTAGCTAGCGTCTTGCTGCTGCACAGACCGTTTGATATTGCCAAGGGCCTCGTGGTGGACTACATGCACACTGTTCTTTTAGGCGTCGTCCCACAGCTATTGAATCTGTGGCTAAGCAAAGACAACAAAGCAAAGACAACAAAGCAAAGCCCTTTTTTTTATAGGAGACAAGGTAAGAGTTTGAGTCCATTTTTTTAACGTAGTTTGACTTTGATAGGCTTTTACTAAGTCATTGGACCTCCCAACTTTCTTTCTTTTCTGCCCTTCATTATATGCTTCAGTGGAACAGTTCACGATAAACGGCAGTTGTATATTATGAAACTGTTTAACAAAAATCGTTTAGAAAGATGCAGCCTTTAACTGTCCCTATTGTTACTTTAGTAAACGAACGTATAGTTGCACACGGCATCCTCTCTTATCTTACAGCTTCCACTTCTAAACAAACGCGTGCAGTCGATACGAACCGTGGACTATATCTCCAGATTGCCCTGTACTGACTTGTCGAGAGGGAACACTGGAAAGGTAAATATCCGACTGACTTAGAAGTTTTCTAATATCTTAAAGGGAAAGCTTTTACTATCCTTGACATACATTTTAATGTGCATCAATTGCAGCAAATGAATACAGAGCTTAGCTCCTGCACTACAGTATCCCAGTTCTAGAGGAAGTGCTACCTTCTCCGTATCTGGAGCATGTCACCTTATTAGCATGGTCCATCCATGTTCTTTTGAGAGACAATATCCCAAGTGGAGATCTAAGGAAAGCCCAACTAGCTCTGGAAGACTTTTGCAAGCTCATGGGGCAACTTTATGGTAAGAGGTGGTCGTCCAGTGACCAGACATTCTTTTGTCTTGAGAACTGAAAAATATTACAATCCATGTATTCCTTCATGAAATCACTACACACTTTTTACGATGCACTTCACGGATATATTATCATACCATATAGTGAACATCAAGAAATACTTCCTGTTAAAAGTTATAGTTGACAGCGCCCTGAGGTGGCACAGCAAATAGACAATTATTAGTACCATTTTAAAAGGCGCCCTGGTGTATAAATCTTTATATTTTAAGTCATAAGCGTTTTCTGTTCATCTTTAGGTCGTATTCATTCATTCTTTAATCCATCCTTTCATTCACTCAATCATCTAACCATGCATCTACCCATCCATCCACCATTTATACAGGCTCAAGTTCCAGTTCAATTAAGTTTGATTACCAAACCAATCGAACAACAATCCGGCCAATTGGGTTCGAATGAGTTCGACTGATTTTTGGTTCGCTTTCGTTCGACTGACTGCGCCGGAAATTAGAAATAAATAATTTTCATATTTGCCTAATTAGTGTTCTGCCCTAAATTCAATTCCAATTCCAATCATTTAATTGCTTGAAGGGCTTTTTTCCATTCGAGCTGTCCCCTCAAATGTAACCCCCTAGCCCCAGCACTCAAATGATTGGAATT